TGGTGGTAGTTTAAAACAGTCACCTTATCACTTTTAGTTGTCCTCTGTAAATTAGATTTAAGGTTTTTTAAGGTTAAGTGTTAATTAAGGGGGCTAGTTATTTTGGGTTTATAAGGGGATTGGAGTTCAACTTTAAAATTGCCCCGGGATCATTCTAAGAGTCAAAGCGCTAATGAGCCAGCACCATACTTCCTTGTATGCGTTTTCTTGACCTGTATCTGATCTTGAAATCAGTTTAAGTTACTTTTAATTTTATTTATAATATCATGAATTATGTAATGCTGCTTGGTGTGTGTTAAACAACCCATGCATGTGCATCTGTTGTTTTTAATTTGTAGTAACAGCATAAACAACCTATGTGCATAAAAAAAAAAAAAAGTAGCCCTCTATGTACAAATAATGTGGTGCAGATTTTTTAATCAAATCTTTTTTTTTTTGTGTGTGTCTCAGTTCAGGAAAGTGTGAACCAAATACGAATTGGAATATTAGAGAGGATTAACTCTTTTGGTGGAACCCCATATGATTAATTCCCTGTGGAAAGTGGGTATATATGTATTTAAAACTGTATGTGTTTGTATCTAGCTTATTTTTAAAATCAAATATGTTTTTTGTTTTTTTTGCTGATGTATAAAATATCCAAAATAACGTTTTATATACTTACTCTCTTGTTAAAAGGTGATGAAGTTTGCAGCGTAAGCCAGCCATCAATGTACCAAAACCTTCCCTCTATGGAGTTTACACACAGCCTACCTTCTGCGACAAGTGCTGATCTAAGTTTGATCTTCAGTGATCCTCTCACACACCATCCCTCAGAGAGCCAGACAGACTCGTCCCCCTGTAACGCCCCCCTTCAACAGGTCTGATGCTAACCCCCCAACACAACTAAGGAACTTGTTTTATTTTAATGGCCTAGGCAGATTATGGCTTTTTTCTCTTGCCAAGATACTTTTAGACACACTTTGAGGTATGCAAAACCTTAAAACTAGAAAATGAAGTACATTGTCTGATTAGATTTTTTCTTAAAGACTGTTTATTTTAAAATGTTTATTTATATAGCACCTTTCAACACAAGGCAATTCAAAGTGCTTTACAAACATGAAAGACATTAAGAAAATGGCATTTAAAAACAGTCATTAAAAAGCAAAGATAATAAAATAAGCATTAAAAGACAAAATACATGAATAACAGTTACAGTGCAGTGTAAGATATAAATAGTTCAATTAATAGCAGCGGCAAAAAGAAAAGTCTTCAGCCTGGATTTAAAAGTAGTAAGAGTTGCAGCGGACCTGCAGGTTTCCAGATATTTGTAGCATAATAACTGAACGCTGCTTTTCCATGTTTAGTTCTGACTGGGGACAGAAAGCAGACCATTCCCTGAAGACCTGAGAGATCTGTATGGTTCATACTGTAGCAGTAGGTTAGACATTTATTTTGGGCCTAAACCATTCAAAGCTTTATAAACCAGCAGCAGTATTTTTAAATCAATTCTTTAAGGTAACGGAGTAAACCACCGGTTGTTATTTACTGACATTAGGCAGATTTTTTATTTATTTTTTCTCTTTTCTTGTGTTACTAAGATACTTTTAGATACACTTTGATGTATGCAACACTTAACAACTGGAAGAATATGAAGTACTTTGTAAGGAATTCGGTTTCTTTTGAATGGCCTAGGCAGATGTTGGCTTCTTTCTCTTGCCAAGATACTTTTAGACACACTTTGAGGTATGCAAAACCTTAAAACTAGAAAATGAAGTACATTGTCTGATTAGATTTTTTCTTAAAGACTGTTTCTCTAAAAGGCAAGTTTGTGATTTTAGCACTTTTTTTACTGACACTCGGCAGATTTGTGTGTAATTCTCTCACAAAGGAACTGTAAGATACACTTTTTATGTCTGCAAAACCTTAAACATGAATACATTTTCTTTGAAGGCACTTTTTGATTTTAACGCTATTTCAGTGGATCAATCCAGTTTTGTTAACATCAATGCTTTTTTCTCTTTTTCTTGTGTTACTAAGATACTTTTAGACACACTTTGATGTATGCAACACTTAGCAACCGGTAGAATATGAAGTACTTTGTAAGGAATAAGAAAGGGGGAGAGGCCGGGGCTGTGAGGGGACGGGGGCTAGACAGGCTCACGCACAACTTCAAAGAGACTGCCTTAATCAACACCTAGATTAACATCAGAGGCTTATAACACACCGGTGTGAAATCACACCTTCCTGTTATAACACCTCAACCCTCACATCAAAGGATTAGACAACAAAGGCGCTACACAGGGGGGCATTTCACACCTATGTGTGATGACACCTCACCCCTCACATCAAAGGATCTCACACCTACGTTTGATATCACACCTAGGTGTGACATCCACCTCGAACAAAGGGAGGCGGGACTTAGCTCATTAGCATAATTGGGGGCGGGCCCACCTGTCACTTTTCATGCATACTAATGTGATTGAAAGGGGATTGTTAATACTACTCAAATTGTTTAAAACCACACTGTTTTGAAAATCGCTGAACTGATTTATTAAGAATGCACCACATGTGTCTCCTGAGTGTGGAAATATTTCAAGCTGGTACAGTTTTAGTTGCTCTCCATTGATACAAACGTTATATAGACCACCCTCGGAAGCCAGCGTCTTCGACGTAGGACCAGAGATGCGGGCATGGCTACACAACGCCGAGTTGGACCTCTGACGTTACACGAAAGAAGAAGAAGATACAAACGTTAAAAGCTGCACTTTTTACATTGGAAGTTATTATTTATACGTTAACTGAAAATAAAAGCTTGTAGTGACGAACCTACTTTCACTCTATCATCCATTTTACGCTGCAATGGACAGTCTTGCACTAATGTACATTCCCAAAGATATTGAAGTGACTGTTATTTTGTATTGATTGTTGTTTTTTTCTTAATGAGTGCACATGTATGAATGTGTCTGTTGATTGTATATATATATAGGATATACATATTTGTATTTTTATATTCAGTATTTCGATCTCTCTGTACACACAAACTGAAAGATTGACAATAAAGTTGACTTTGACTTTTCCAATTCTTTAGTTGCCCTAAGCTCTTTTAACATTATAGTGTCTTTCAGCTGCTTGTTTTGATTTTCTGGCATGCAACTGTTTTGATTCACTCCTGCAGCTCTCATCTACGGTGGCTGACAGGTGCAGACGCACTACAATAAACCAAAACACTTCCATTAGGAGAAACAAGCTACAGAAACGATCTAAATATAAAAACACAAATGTGCCAATGCGCGTGAAAATGAAAACATATGCAGCGTTTACAAAAACTGCTGCATAAATGAAATCGCTGCAAATACAAAACTCTGCAAAAATAAAAATGTGCTATAAACACAAAACGTGGAAGTTTGTGTTTTTATATTTGCATTGTTTCTGAAGTTACAGCAGCAGGAAATGTTTTGGCCCTTTGTAGCGCATTTGTACCGGTCAGCGATTGTCCAGTTTTAAGGCACAACAGGCAGGATTAGGGTTGGACCAAAAAAGTTAACAAATATCTCAAGAGCCAGATATTTCCTTTAGTAGTTGTTGGAGACAAAAACAAAGCGTAAACGGGAATCCAAATTAGAGTTGGTTGGCAATTTGTTGCTAATACTTTTAACTAAACAAGTGTATATGGAAATGTGTCCATGTAGTGTTTTCATGTTGATCTGATTCTACCAATTGGTCAAATACGTGCGTTACTGGTCCTGGGTGCAGCGGTATTTTTGAAAGCTGCGAAGAAAAAAAATGGTAATATTGATATCATGTTAATAATACAAATATGAAATTATTGTGCAAATAATCCAGTGCCTCTAAAAACGTATCTCTCTCTTTCCCTTCTCGCTTTGTCTACCTACCCAAACGCCAAAAACAAATGTGATTCGACAAAAAAGACACAAAACGCTCAATAAACAAAGTTAGAGATGAGTTAGACTTATAGCATTATATCCATATATAAACGATGTTTCTTCAATTGGTTTTTGGCCACGATAATTGTATAGAGAATTAATCGGATATTGGGTTTTAACCAGTTTGAACTAACTTGGTTGATCTATGACATTTGATCCCGCAGCTAGACATCATCCATGATGACATAACATGCTCGAGATGCAGCACTTCTTCTTGTCTGCAGTCCCAAGGCTACAACATGTGAGGGTCATAGATTTTACATTGGCGAACAGCATGGATCAGTGTGTGTGCCTGCATGTGTGTGAAAGATACAGAAAGGGTGAAAAAAGAAAAAGCAAGCAGTATAGAGGACGATTCTCCCTGAGCAGAATGATGAAAGACAGAGTAACAACAATACAGGGATGATAGAAAAGATCTATCTATCCATCTATCTATCTGTCTATCTGTCTGTCTATCTGTCTGTCTATCTATCTATCTATCTATCTATCTATCTATCTATCT